CTAACATGTTTAGCACATTTTTGGATTATTAACCCAAATCTTTTAAAATTTTCTGAACTCCATTTACTTATATCTTTTGATAAGTTATTGGTGGTAGTAGTAATGATTGTAGTAACACTGTTATTATTATTAATATCATTTTCATCATCATTATTATCATTATCATTATTGTAAGTATTATTATTGTTATTACTAGTGAATCCATAGTAACAATTACCAACACTATCACTACTATCATTATTATTAGTGCCAGTAGTCGTAATAATTCTATTGATACCCCATTGTACCAATTTTTCCCAAATCACCATTTCTTCCATTTCTAATTCATCATCCTTTAATAATTGTTCCAAGCAATCTTCTGGCAATAATAAAAATTCATCCGAGTCAAATAACAGATTAGGATATTTGCGAATACGATCTAAACAGAAATCTTGTAATTTCTTTAATGCATTTGTGTTAAAAGTAATACGGAAGATTATGGGAAGGTTGTCTTTAAGCCATTGGATATGTTTATTTAGTAATAACGTTTGTGTGTAATCAATAAACTCGTCCAATAATAATTCATCAGCTGCCATCAAGCATTCAAATATTACCAAAGGTTCTTTCTCTTCTTCGTCAAACATGATTTTTCCTCCATAAATAAACCTATTAATAAAAGCATGTATATTATATATATATATACATTGGTTGAGACTTACAGAAGAAAAACGAAATAACTTTATAAAAAATAAATATACAAACTTTAAAATAATTTCAAAAACAAATGGAGAAATATTTGGTTTTCTGAATTGGATAATTCCATTTTCTCTTTTTATCCATTCTTTTTTCAAATAATTAGCAAAATATGTGGACCTTACACGTAAAATGTTGGAATGAACTTGAAAAGTTTTTACAATATTAGTTGTTGTCACTGCTATGTCTTCCTCACCATTACCACTATTATTGTTGTTGTTGTTGTTAAAAAAATAGCCTCCTCCTCCACCTATATGTATTACCATATCATGATCTGATGTATCATTCAATAATTTCAACAAATCATAAGCTAGTGTTGAACAGAATAATGATGTTGACGGTGTTGGTGTTGATGATAATGTCGATGTTGTTAATAACAATTGCATTTTAAATTTTTATTTTTTGAGAATAAAAGGCGAGGAATAAAAAATTTTGATTTAGTGTTTACTGAAAAAGTACTCCAGCTACAATTCCAGATGTCTTTTTATGGTGTTCTAACAGATTGTCATAATATTATCTTTATTAAAAAGAATTACTCCAACAAATATAGATGGATGACGATAATAATGATAATAATAAATAACTTCAAAAATCCAATTGTTATACAAAATATCAATATACGTGTAACATATTATTGCCCTATATGACAAACCCCTTTTCACATGTACGTTCATAAACTATTCGTTTAGGTTTAACCCCAAAACAATTTCAACATCGAGTGAACCCAAGAATCAAATGAATGAAGCATCTGACTTTCATGAGTAATCATGGTCACAAAGATCATCAACATCTAAATGTTTTACACTGCTGATTGTTCATAAAAAACTGGTGGATTTAAAAACCTGCCCTTTCTATGATTGTTCGTATTCAATATTATTAATAAACTTGTCTGTATTGACAGCCACAAAAAAAAATAACAGAATAATTATGTATATATTTAAAGATGACAGTATTACCAGGGGTTATTTTTAAACTATTTGCTAGGACATGTGCGGTGTTAGCATATTGCTATCATATTAAAATGCGCTGACCACACATCAACAGCAAACTAATGTGCGGTCAATAATTTTACATATAATTTATTGAACACGTTGCTCTTTGGAATAACAATGTTCAAAAGACTAACTCAAAAGCTAACTCAAATCAATTGAATGTTCATTTAAAGTTTCTAGATTCATTTGGTCATCGTCCGAGTGCTTGTTTTCGGTATAATTGTGTGCTCGTTGTAAAAATATTTCAATAATTGAAGTTACCTGAAAATGAATGAATTGACCATATATGATGTCGAGGGTCGTTTAATAAAAATCAAATCTCGAAATATTTGAAATCTAATAATAATCCAAACTTAATTTGAATCACAAAAATCAATCTAAAAGAAGAAGATATTAATAAGTAAAGGTGACATGTGTTAATGAGGATCATAAAGGTTGCTTGTTTTATTTGCCTTTTTATTTACAGTGTTGTTTAGTTTTTTCATTTTTGTGTACTTCCAATAGCCATGACTCCATATATATTTTGAAAATAATGATCTATAACGTAATGTGATAGTTGTAATCAGTGTTATCAGCGGACGCGGACATGGACACGGACTGTCCGGTCCGGGACTGTCCGTGTCCGTCACTTTAAATGTCCCGGACCATTCTTGGACAAAAATATAAAATTTTGCCTACTACCTCTTTCTTAAAGCTTTGGTGAATCTGTAAACACTTTATGGTACAATTAACAAAGCAATAAAGC